CCCCCACCCCCACCAGAATTCGGTCAGATGTGTCCCATCCTCCCTTTGATCTTGCCTTAAGAGGATCGGGGGGACAACTCACATCAGTGGGAAAGGGAGTGTCCACTTCTCCTATTGAGGGGACCCCCCAATTTTCCCACACCTCCCTCAGGCACTCTGGAGCAGGTTTCGTTACCTTTGCTTCACCAGGCCGCACAGAGTGCCTCTGTGCTGGTACCCCTGTGCAGGGTGGTATGCAGGGGGGAGTGCCATGTCGTCTCTCGCCCCTTCCTTGTTTGGACAAGCACAGGCTACCCAGTCAACCAGAGCCCAGCTGCCCCTTACCATTATGCGGTTAAGTACACAGCTAGGGAGTTGCCTTTGGACTCTTTTTCATCGGCGCTCCCCTCTCCCACTGCCAACATGGATACCTCACATGTTGGCCAACTCCCCTCGGCACCTCATGTGACCCAGGCTGTAGAGGGGCTCAGAGGGCGATGAAGGGGGGGTGATTGGTATCCCTAGGGAGACAAGGACAAGAAGACTGATCCTGGCATGAGGTCAGTCCTGTCCCATGTCTTCCATTGGGGTTACGCGAACCATCAAAGGGTCCCTGATTTGGATTACTCGTGTGGTGCCACAGCCTTCTTCACGGGTTCCCCGCCCGATCCCAGTACTCATGCCTTTAAGGCGGATTGTGCGGATCAGGAAGGCCATGTTGCGTGGTCATTTGACTTACACCAGAGCCTGCAAGTGCATCAGCCGCTGCGGGCAGAACTTAAACCTATCAACTTTGTAAAATAGGTCTTCTTGGCGTAAGAGCGTCAGTTCACCCTTTTAAGTTCTGACCACCTGCGTGCTAAGCAACGAACCGCGATCCTTGGACAGATGAACCAGTTTTAGCTGCACAGAGAGTCGCTATGTGTGACATCCTGCAAGTCCATACTGCCCTCTTGGCAGGAGTGGTTTCAGTCGAGCGGGAGGTAGTACTGAGTTAGTGCAACTACCCTACTCCAGTGGGAGACAAGATTGGTCACCTGCGGAGATGACCTTGGGCACATGACCGGCTCTTTGGTGGCCGGCTAGCTGATGCAGTTGTCGTTTTCGTGGTTGCTCAGGATCAACGTATCCAATTGAAGCAATCATTCTTGTTGGCTAGGGCTGTTAGCCCTTTTCAGCCAACGGTTCAAACCAAAACTGCAGTGCGGCTCTTGCAATCAATCCCCTGCTAAGGACCCGAACCAGCGAGGAGCTAAGCGCTCATGGTTTCTATCTAAGTAGCAGAAAAAGACCAGTAGCGGGAAGCATCAGAAGAGGTCGAAGAACGTGGCCCTGGTGGTAGGACGTTCTGACACTTCTGGGGGCCAGGAAGCCACAAAGTCTCTTTAAAAACTTCACTGGTTGCCTGGGCATGGATGGTGGTACGACCCCCCCCCCCCCCCGAGTCCTCAGGCTCAGCCTCCCCATCTTAGTCCTCAGCCTCCTCATCTTTGTCCTCCTGAGCTGGAGGCTGGAGTTCAGGGAGCTCAAGCTTCGAACCCCAGTCTGCTCCTCTTCGTTGGATCGCGCCTCAAGCAGCTCACCCCAGCTTGGCGCCTGATAGCTTCTGACCCCTGGACGCTCACAGTAGAGTCCCAGAGTTATCGGAGTCCTCTGGTCTCATCCTCTCTCTGGTTTTCTACTGAGGGACGGGGTCAAGGTGGAGATGACTCGGCGAAAGTAGCCAGCCTTCTGGAAAAAGGGCCGGTACGCCTAGTGGAGAACCCCATTTAAATCTAAGGTTCTATTCCCACATCTTCCTCGTTCCCAAGAGTTTTTTTTTTTGAGGGGGGGGGGGGGGCTGGCATTCTGTCGTAGACCTAAGGCGACTGAGCTCGCCAACCAACTCCGATCGACGGGATCGGCTTCTATGCGTGAACTGATGCGCCTTATTGGCAGTATGACTTCAGTTCGTCGTCTAGTTCCATCAGCAGCTCTCCGGCCTCGTCCGATTCAGAGGTGCTTGCTGGACCGCAAGGCCCTTATGCGGAATCTGACGTTCAGGGTTCAATTGTTGGACCAAGCCCTGGCGGCTGTCTCTTAGTGGACAGACGCCCAGAACTTTGAGAGCGGAGTGCCCCTAGATCCGATGACTCCCTCGCTGACTCTCATTTTGACTCTATTTTATATCTATTTTGACCCAGTGTTAAGCTGAAAGTTGAAGTCTGCACTATGTGTATAACGTAGTTCGTGATTGGTTTGTGGTGTTTTTTTGACAAAAAGTCATATGACGTAAGTTTATTATAAAGTCTTTGTTTCATCACTATTTGTTTTTTTTTGTACAATGTGAATTGAAGGGGAGGGGCTATTGTCGATGTCGAAATACGATCTGTTGGAATTGATTTTGGTGAATAAACTACATGGTTTTCAATAAGCTGGTAACTAGCCATTTTTTATAGGTATACTGAATATGGCATGAAATATTTGCCGCGTTTTACTTGTATTAACAGGTCATTGTCGAAGCGTTTATGCACGGTTACTGTGGTCCAAGCATTCACAACATTTTCACGGCAGTCGATATCCATGCTGTATCATATAAAAGTGTTTACCAAGAATCGTTATGCAATGATCAAAAACCAAGTTTTAAATTAGTTTCATTTTTTAAGGGTGAGCGCTTTGCCGAATATGAACAATTTTGCAAAAGTGGGGGGTTGGCGCTTGACCGGGCATGGTCACTAACACGGTTGAGTAGGGTAATACACACTTTACATTACATCGGCTTTTGGATTCCTTTGAATTGTTTCACCAAAAAGTCATGTTTTTTTCTACATTTTTATTAGGTGATTACTATCAGGGGTTGAATAGATGTTTACATGATTGCCATGATCACATGGTTTTAACACACATTCTATTTACTTTCAATAGATGTTTACATGATTGCCATGATCACATGGTTTTAACACACATTCTATTTACTTTTAATAGATGTTTACATGATTGCCATGATCACATGGTTTTAACACACATTCTATTTACTTTTAATAGATGTTTACATGATTGCCATGATTACATGGTTTTAACACACATTCTATTTACTTTTAATAGATGTTTACATGATTCCCATGATTACATAGTTTTAACAGACGTTCTATTTCTTTTCAATAGATGTTTACATGATTGCCATGATTACATGGTTTTAACACACATTCTATTTACTTTTAATAGATGTTTACATGATTGCCATGATTACATGATTTTAACACACATTCTATTTACTTTTAATAGATGTTTACATGATTCCCATGATCACATGATTTTAACACACATTCTATTTACTTTTAATAGATGTGTACATGATTCCCATGATTACATGGTTTTAACACACATTCTATTTACTTTTAATAGATGTTTACATGATTCCCATGATTACATGGTTTTAACACGCATTCTTTTTACTTTCAATAGATGTTTACATGATTCCCATGATTACATGGTTTTAACACACATTCTATTTACTTTTAATAGATGTTTACATGATTCCCATGATTACATGGTTTTAACACACATTCTATTTACTATTATTAGATGTTTACATGATTCCCATGATTACATGGTTTTAACACACATTCTATTTACTATTATTAGATGTTTACATGATTCCCATGATTACATGGTTTTAACACACATTCTATTTACTGTTAATAGATGTTTACATGATTGCCATGATTACATGGTTTTAACACACATTCTATTTACTATTATTAGATGTTTACATGATTGCCAGCACTGTATCATCAAAGATTTTGAAAGCAATTTGCAGAGAGGAAGGTGGCCATTTTGTGGAAACATTGACTGGCTTCAAGTGGATGGCAAACAAGGCTGTCAATTTAGAAAAGAAAGGAAAAACAGTCCTTTTTGCATTTGAAGAAGCAATAGGTAAACCATACATTATCCAGTTATGGTACTATAATTGCCATTTTTAGTCCCTGTCCGCAGTCCGAAAACGGGGACTTATGTTTTGATCTCGGTGTGTCTGTGCGTGCGTCCGTCAGTCCGACCCTGTATCTTAGAAATGCCTGGACCAATCACAATCAAACTTCACTCATATATCATACATGACATTATACATATGCACATCAATTTGTTTCCCAATCTTATTCAAGATGGCCGAATGGCAGCCATTTTTGTACTGAATAATCATCAAAGTTAAGCATTTCTCGGCTGTTTACAAATGGATTTTTTTCAAAATTGGTATACATTGGACATTATATGAGCTTGATGCACATCATTCTGTTTTTCAGATGAGACTCAAAATGGCCGACTGGCAGCCATTTTGTTTTAATGAATGGGCTTCTAGAGCCATATCTCTGACATGCTTTGACTGATTATGTTCAAAATTTTAATATTTATTATACATTATGTCATAGATATACAGATATATTGTTTTGACGATCCTATTGAAAGTGGCCGATTGGTGGCCATTTTTGTGCTAAAAAAATCAGCAAATATCAAGTATTTCTGGATTGATTTCGTTCAAACTTATAACATATATTAGACTTATCATGTTCAAATTTTATATATTCATTATACACCATGTTATAGATATATACATGTATTCAAAATGACTGATTTTGTTTTAATTATTAAATGCTGTTCCAGAGCAATATCTCTCAATGTGGACAAGTACTTGTTTTTGATGATCAGATACAATTGTCAATCATTTTAATGTTAAACAATCATCATAATCATATTCCTGACATGGTTATATTCCAGCTATATTACTATAAACAAAACTATAGATTCAGTAACTAACGGGAATTGTGCCATGCATGGCTTGTGTACTTTCCCTTTGATAAATACTCACCCAACTGATATTTGTGGGTCAGCTTAATACAGTGATCATGTGACAACACATGGTGATCATGTGATATGTAACAATGTTTAATGATGATTATGTGACAATTTAATATGGTAATTATGTGGCAATGTATTATGGTGATTTAGAGACCTGCACCAGATGTGTAAAAAACAATTCTTCATCAGGCTGAAGCTGTTGAAATTAGGTTTATCAAAACAACCATGAAAGTATAAAGGCATCAATGATAAAACAATAAAATTCAATCACTGCTCTTGAACTCTTTCATTTCAACTTCTATATTTGAGTTCATACATGCATTCAACTCTACAAGCGTGATCTGGAAGATTGCCATAATTGAGTGCCACAATTTCTGTTTTAAGATTTATTTGGTATGATAATACAAATGTTCACCCCAACAGAGGTGGACAAACAATTTTAGTGACCTGAAGAGCTCATTGTCGACCAAGGCTTTGCTATCATTGGCCCCTAAAAGGAATCATTTCATGAGTATTGCCACATATTGTGCTTCCTTGACAAGTTATTTGCATATTCGAGAGGAAGGTAGTCGGAGAGGTAGATTTTTGAATATTGCAGCAGGTAGATACAGAAATATTTCTACCTGTAATGCGTGAATCTGATTGGCTGTCATGGTCATAAGGTATAATAATGTAATATGGTGTCTATAAGGTTTATTTAATTACAACGCAACCTATGACATGCAAGTTGGTCATGTGACTGAATTGATGATCATGGTTTTTATTCCCTGTTCAGACACAGCCTGAATAGGGGAATGTCTAATCCTGGTTTTGGCAACTTCAATTTTCAGTCTCCAACATTTTCTCAGAAATTCTGCAGCAGATATCAATGACACTTGGCAGGTTGATGACCAATAATCTTCTGATTATGCAAAAAAAATTTTTCCAGATCTAAAAATCCTAAGTGAGTCTTTTTCACGATTTTCATAAGAATTACCTCTCCTAACAACATTGACAGAACAACTACGCATACTCAGAATAAATTAATTACTGTAAACTACATTATTTTTTTGCTTGCAATTTGTTTTCGCTATTTTCCCTGATTCAGTTAAAATAAAATCCAGCAAATATACCTTTTTTCCTGTATTTTTCTTTCAACTCGTCAAAAACTGAAAATAAATTTCATACAAAACACCCAAAAAGTCTTGTCAGCAAATATTAATTCCAGCTGAAATAAAATATTTTACAGCCTGCTCAGATTAAATCTGTCGGTATTGCTGTTTTACAGCACGTGATTTCTCCATTCGGCAGTGCAATTTATTATTATGGTACTGTTTATATTCTGTTCGGCTTAGTGGTCTCATTCACTAGTTACTAGAAGAACTAGTAACTTTATTTGGTTGCAGGAACTTCAAGAAGGCAGCATAAGAGACGTGTTTGCTAAGGTAGGTTCTCCATTTTCAGTGAAATTGAATGTGCTTTGACTGATTAGTCCCCGTTCGGACGCAGTCCGAAAACGGGGACTTATGTTTTGCCCTGTGTGCGTCCGTCCGTCCGTGCGTCCGTGATCACCTGTATCTCGAACATGCATGGACCGATTAAGTTCAAACTTCACTCATACATCACACATTATATGGGACATATGCACATGCATTTTTTTCATGATCCGATTAACGATAGCCGAATAGCGGCCATTTTAAGGCCGAAAATGCATCAAAATCGCACATTTTCACCATTCCGGACCCGGATCTCAGTTATGCATGGACGGATTTTGTTCAAATTTGGTACATACATTAAACATAATAGGACCTTGATGCACGTCATTTTTTTTTTGGATCGGGTTCGAAATGGCCGACTGGCGGCCATTTTGTTTTAAAGAATTCAGTTCTGGATCCGTATCTGAGACATGCTTGGATTGATCGAGTTCAAACTTCACACACACAAGGTACATCATGTCACAAATATGTATGTGCATTTGTTTCATGAT